GGCTACTGAACGTTACTTTAGTCCCTGATGGGGGTCTACACACCGATCCCTGACCCTCGCTGTTAGGAGAATAGATGGAAACAAGACCTCAATCGAGATGTTGCATTGGGCATAATTGAACAGGTACCAGTGGGCACTCTTACAACCTGGTGCTCAAGAATGGTAGCCAGGCCTAAAAAAAAAAACGACGGCTTTCCCAGACGCTTCTAACTGAACGCTGCCTCCATGAAGGAAACCGATCATATTCCGTCCCCATTAAATCAGGGTCCCCTTCATTCCATCTCAGATAAGGACATCAGATTAAGACGCATGGAACAGGTACCACAGCTTACCGCTTTCCCCAGCCACACAAGATGCCACTACATTTATCAGTTAATGAGGCTGGTACAGATATCTTCCTGCTCCCCAAGGATTTCACACATCTAGAGACGGATATAGACTCGGTTCGACGATATTACAATAGACATAGTTCGAAAATCCTGCTGCAGAGATTCTATAGTACTATAGCGATTCTATAGTACTCTTGCTGGCGCACAATGAAATATATAACCCAACGTGGGGAGAATGGAATTGTGTTTAACCCTGACAAATTCCATTTTCCAGAGAAAGGCAGAGTTTGCCGGGTTTTTAATAACGGCCGATGGTGTGAAACCAAAAAAGAAAATAATTGAGGCCATCCTTCAGTTTCCTACGTCCACAAATATCACGGGTGGTCGGTCCTGGTTTGGTCTGGTGAATCAGGTATTTTATGCATTCTCGCAAGCTGAGATGATGGCCCCATTCCGGGAATTACTGCGCTCGAAGAACCGAAAATCTTATTGGAACGAAAGACTTGACCAACCTTTGTCTAATGGATGTCAGTTATATCCTGTTAATTTCTCTCCAAGTTCTCCACTGCCTTAACCAGGTATTGAACTCACACTCTTTGGGTCCTGTCACTGGATCTAACTAAAGCCTTTATCCACTGTGTCACGTGTCATTGAACAGTCTAACCCAGTGAGCGAAATAAAGGGTTCAGTTCGACATTCCAACCACCTGAAGAAGGCCGGAGCGTACAACGGCCGAAACGTTGTAATAAATATGGCTACAAAAATAAGGACAATAGTCCGAGTAATGTAAATTGTATAAGCAAAATACGATGAAAGCATAAAAATAGATTTTTATAGTAAAATTACCAATAATATCTATTTATAGTAAAGTTAACAACGATACCTATTTATAGTAGGGACTTATAGTAATTATAGTACCAACGATAAATTTTATCTACACTTGAAGGTATACGATTAAGATCAAAATATTTTTTAAATAAGTCATAGAGATGTTGATATGCCGCTAAGAAAAATCAACCAATAAACCAAGTATAAGGAGAAAGTTCAACAGTTTTTCCCATGAAAAGCAACACTGTGGAACAGACTCCCGCATGGATACTTTCCTGAACATAACATTATTAACCTCTGTCAGTCGTCATCTATCCTCCCTATACTCATAATCTTCTCTTCCTACCAACTCCTCTTCAATTCCTTTGCCACATCTCATTCAGTAATCCTCTATCTGGAGTGGAGCTCAAATCTTTTATTGGGTGAACTTTATAGAACATGGAGAAAATTGAAGATGAAATGGAATTATGTTTGATATTTAAAAAAAAAAATACATCTGTTATTTTGACAAAAGTACAATTTGCATTTGGTCAGATTTTCAAAAAAATGAGAATTCGTAAAATTGAAATTCGCCGTTTAAAAGTAGCTGCAGATGTGTTATTACCAAATGATCGACTTAGTAGATTAAGTATATATTTTGGAAACATATGGAAACCACTGACTAACAGAAGATCTGGTGTATTTTACATCGCAAAATCACTAAGTAAGCTTTGAAACATGATCTCAAAATGTGATGAAATTCGTCTTGAAGATCATACGTTCAAAACGTAGGTGGGAGGATATGTTGGCCAAACACGTTCCAAAAATTTGTAAGGAGACATAAAGTGTATGAGAAAGGAAACGCACAACCAATCACTCACATCAGAGTTCGACATTCCAATCTCGACAGACGCCTGAAGAAGGCTGGAGAAGACATTGACTGAAACGTTTTGATAGAAAATAAAGAAGATGAAATTCATTTGAATAGAGAAATAAACAATATCTATTCATGTCCATATTCAAACGGACTCAGGGTCTATTCAAACATACATAAAATACCTCGTTAAACCTCGTGTAAAAATCATTCTTGGCCGGATGCAATGACCCCTCAAGTGTTTTCGCTTTCATCACATTTTCTTTTAATAGTGTTTTTGCGCGTTTTTTTTTTTTCTTGCGATCCGGAGACGCCATTCTTGAGTTGGTAAGATAAAGACAAGATAGTCAAATGTTTGGAGCGAATATATATTAAGGCAATAATTACAATTGCATTTTGTTATCTCCATGCATCACTGTTTTTTATCACAGTTTTCTTCCGTCAAACATTGCCGATTGCAGAAATTAATATTGTCTTATAGGATATGATTTCTTTAACTACGTGAGTATTTTATTGGCATGATTTTAACAGTTTGTTTAAAAAAAAAAAAAAAAAAAAAACACTCGTTAGGTTAAATATAGATACAAAAAAGGTTTATTATTCTAATTTAGAATTGGATGGGAAACTTAGATGAATAAAAACAAGGTTCAAGAAAAATACATTTTTACATGTAGTGAAAAAGTGGACTAATTATCTATAAAAAGGAAAAATAGAAATGATAACACAAGTCCTACTTGTATTTACTTGTGTATAATACGAGAATTTTTTATGTATAATATGAAAAAATTTTCTTGTGTATAATAAGAGAAATTTTCTTGCGTATAATACGTGAAATTTTCTTGTGTATAATACGAGAAATTTTCTTGTGTATAATACGAGAAATTTTCTTGTGTATAATACGTGAAATTTTCTTGTGTATAATACGTGAAATTTCCTTGTGTATAATACGAGAAATTTTAAACGAAAATTAAAGTATTATACACCAATGCATGTTTTCAGAAATTTTTACTCAGCTTCAAAAAAAAAAAATTCTTATTTAAAAAAGCAAGATTGCAAATTCACACGGTTTTTCTCACAAGATAATTTTTTTCTATATTTCTGAGATGAGGTATTGTAACTATTTGCATTATTTACATTATTCAGACAGATATCCTCATCTTTATTGTCATAGTCCCGCCGTTTCCTTGTACGCTCCGGCCTTCTTCAGATGATATACGTTGGAATTTCAAACTGAACTATTTATTTAGCCACTAAGATAAACTGTTCTAGTTCCGCGTGTCATGCCTTTTTCTGAATATCTCTGTTTCGGTTAATTCAATTTAGTAACTCAACTGTACAAATTTTTGTTCCAAGTTTTTGTTTAGGTACTAAATTCACAACTCTTTGGGTCAAGACAGTGAATTACTTCAGACAACGCTTTTATTCACATATATCCGAGTGGATTAAATAAAGGGTTCGGTTCGAAATTCAAACATATATCACCTGAAGAAGGCCGGTGTGCAAAACTGCCGAAACGCCGTGAAAATGACTCTAAAGATGAGGAGAGCCGTCCGAAAAATGTAAATAAGGTGAAAAGATAAATTTTGTTTATTATTTTTTTATAAAGTTTTATAAAGTTTTCACGCTTCATACTTAATGAAAGACAAATTTTTCACAGTTTATTAATATATATATATATATGTAAATAAACCAAACTTATATCAAACAGAAAAGTATAACAGATTAATGAACACCTTAAAATATTTTATTAATATAAGTTTTGAGACGGAAATTAGAAGAAACATGTAATGGCTAAACATCCAATTCATTTTTATTCTTTAATATCATGAAAAATTAAATATTATTGCGAAATATATGTATGCTATTGAGATTTTATAGGATCATATGATACAAATTGTCATGGGGTCCATCCCTTTTTCATATTAGCGGACTCGCCCAGTATGTATTTGTACTGCTGCCGGTGAATACCCGGAAGTCAGACAGTGATACAGTGATACAGTGAGATAGTGAGAGAGTGTGAGGTAACCGCTTTGTAGGAGTCACGGTTGCGAGCACGTAGACTCAGAAGGAAGTCCTACTTCGATACTGAATTTCCCAGACTGTATATATATTATTATTGCTACTAACCGCATTTCTGGATCTACTAACCGTATTACCAATTGTATTATTACGTCAATACATTTATTTGCTATATTTCAGTCCTGCGTTTGTCATTCATTTGAGACCGGATTTCATCCTGGAATCCACAACACAAACTATGAAAGTATTACATAGGGTTGGTTGTATTACAAGGTCGTTTAATACTTAAGTATGTAAATTATTCCCTGTTTTTACTTTCAGAGACACGGGGTTGTATTACACTCAAGTCGAATTATACACATAGATAGATAGATAGATAGATAGATAGATAGATATGAACAAACTGATATATATATATATATATATATATATATATATATATATATATATATATGAACAAACTGATATTTTTATATATATATAAATTTAACGTACAAAATTTAACGATAGCTAGGAAAAAGCAAAAATTACATGACATTTTTAAAAACACTAAAAAAGAACAACTGGTTTCATCCCAGCCTTATCAAATTTATTTTTCTGGGATATAAAAAAATATACAAGCGCGTAAAATTAAATTAATATAACGAATGGAAGGGAAAAATATAAATTTCAAGAAAACTAGAGCCCAATATTTTTCAGACCCAGTAAGCATTCCCTCTGTTTACAAAGGAAGGCCCACGGGATCTGATATACAAGGACTCTAGAACCTTGGGGTGAGATGTGGAATGGGACCTAGATAAAATAAAAAGAAATCTATCTATCTATCTATCTATCTATCTATCTATCTATCTATCACAGACTGTTCATTATCTATCTATCTATCTATCTATCTATCTATCTATCTAGATAGATAGATAGATAGATAGATAGATATGAATAAAACTGAGATAGATATATAGGTATGAGCAAACTCAGATAGATATAGATAGATAAATAGATAGATATAGATAGATAGATAGATGGACTTATGATTGTAAGAAATTCTACGAACTTTAAAATTGGTAAAATTTGAAAACTATTACATAGAAAATTTAAATGCCTAAATTACTGTAAATATTAAAATGAAAAAAGTTAACTTTCTTGGTATAACGATAGATTTAATGAATAATATATACGTACCTTACAAAAAGACCAGTACTAATCCTTTGTATATACACCCTAAGTCTAATCATTCTCTATCTATAATTAAGCATATACCTTCATCTATTGAAAAAAGAATAAGTACAAATTCAGCAAATGAGAAAATATTTTATGGACATAAATACCAAAAACTCAATTATATAAAAACTGAAAATGGACACCACAGAAAAAACAGAAATAGAAAAATCATTTGGTATACACCGCCATACAACCAAATGGTAAGAAATAAATTAGGACAAAAATTCCTTGCATTAATTGATAAATATTTTCCTAGAGAAAATAAACTCAGTACAATTTTTAATAAAAATACCGTAAAATTAAGTTACAATTTTACTGAAAACTTACAAATAATTATTAAAAACATAATTCTAATATCTTAAATAAACACTTATACCAAAATAAAAAAAAAATATAGACCCTAAAATAAAAAGAAATGAAGATAAACAAAAATTATGTAACTGTAGAAATTCTCAAAACTGTCCTCTTAATAATAAATGCCGTATTTTACCAATAATTTATCAATGCAATATCTCATCTCTTGAAGATCCAGGCATAGTTAAATTCTACACTGGATGCACACGGAATGAATTCAAAAGAAGGTGGAGCTAACATCAAACATACTTTAATAATAATAAATACCGAAATCAAACGTCCCTATCTAAATATTTCTGGCACTTAAACGAAACCAGTAAAACACCAAGAGTAAAATGGAAATTAATAAGAAAAGCAAGAGATTGTAGGTCATTAAATGACTCCTGTCTTTTGTGCATACATGAAAAATTATACATTATTAAATTTTTGAAAAATAAAAATTTACTAAATCAAAAAAATGAAATAGTTATTTTTTTCTAGGCACTCTCAAAGATATTCCTTAAGTAATAATTAATTTTGAAAAAATAAAATAATAAAGAATAGAGATAAAACATACATTTTTATATTGGATATTTAATTAGTAATTTAGTTATTAGAAGGTCAAATGGTACTTTAAATCTATACGAACAAATTTCGATTAATAAAATTTAAATATTAAAAATAGGTTTTGCACATATTTAAATGACCCTTTTAGGAAATCTTTGTGTATAAAAATATTAATTAAGCGGATGAATAAAAATGCCAAATTTTTTTTATCATTGAAAATCCAAAAGACTCATTGAATAACGGAAGTATACTTTTGTTAGCAGGCGACCACACCCCACCTAAACTTATCCTGACTTTGTAAGTAACATATATTGTCTACATAAGTTGTCTTGGGAAATTAAAACCCGACCACCCTAAATTAAAATAGATTTTCCTTAACACCTCATAATATCAATATTGTCTGCGCTTATAAATTAAGTAGATTTCTTTGAAAGTGTATTCCTAACATCGCTTGACAATGGAACGAGACAATGGATTTTAAGTTTAATTTTTATAATTAAATTTATAAATTTAGTTTCATTTTTGAAACACGCAAATTTTCTGTGTCGCTATGGAATTATATTTTTTAAAAAATATCATAGATAGATTGACATAAACAAACTGAGATAGATAGATAGATAGATAGATAGATAGATAGATAGATATGACATAGATACATAGATATAGATACATAGATATGGATACATAGATATGAACAGACTGAGATAGATAAATAGATATGAACAGACTGGGATAGATAGATAGATAGATAGATAGATAGATAGATAGATAGATAGATAGATCTGAACAAACTAAGACTTGATATCTATGAGGAGAGCTCAGTAGATAGATTGAAAGTAAGAAATAAAGAAAGGAAGAAATATAGAAAGAAAGATGAAACATGAGTTTAGCTACATTTGAGGTCAATGTCTTTTAATATTACTTTTTTGTGAAACTTATTTAGTAAAAAATCAGAAGCAAAAAGAATGAGTAAAAAAGACGAATAAAAGAAAAGTATAGGTAGGAAATGTGTGTTCGTATTTGTATATAGCAGAGAGAGAGAGAGAGAGAGAGAGAGAGAGAGAGAGAGAGAGAGAGATAGTGGCAGATGAATAGGAAGAGAACAAGATGAAAGGGGTATAGATACATTTGGGATAATTTCCTAAATCTCAGTGAAACATCCGTAAAAATAAAGTAGATCTCCGTCTTCTTAATATATTAATTTTTTTTTTTTTTTTAAATTCATTTTTTATTTTGTTTCAATTTGATTTTTTTTTTTTTTTTTTGCCAACAAAGTTATCGTCGCCGAGGGACTGCTAATGTTTGTGCCAAAATAGTTGAATCTGCTTCCGGTTTCGAAACAATTATTGACTGATTTGTATGCGAAGACATCAATCAGACGAGCCACTAACCACGTTTTATGTTAAGCAAATAACAGCAATACCAAGTCGATCTCTTACTTGGGAGTCCTTCGGGAATTACTGGCGGACTTTGATCTCAAAAATAAGTCGGAAAGTCGTAAATATAGACAGCGCGGTTGGTCAGTTTTCGATTCGAGTTTGTCTAGTTCATAAATAAATAATTTAGTAAAGTCCGGCATAGGGCCACAACAATGAAATATCAAATAAGAATAAGTGTATATTATATATGTTTCTTTTTTATTTGCCATATTCCTTCAGGGTGTGAGTGATCATTGCTCTCCCCAGCTTCCTCTCTTTTACTGTTTTAAGTAACTTTTGACATTTTACCACACTTCTTTTATATCGATGAGGAGGTGACTGGTTGATTTTGCTTGATCTCTTGCTTTCAATTTACCATGTGAGGATTAAATTCTCCAAGCACTCTTTCTTCATTATCCTCATGTTCATTACCATATCCACAAAGTTTCGGCCGTTGTACACTCTTCGGTCTTCTTCAGGTGATTGGAATTTCGAACGAACAATTTATTTCACCTGAAGAAGGCCGGAGAGTAGAACGGCCGAAACGTTGTGAATATGACAATGGAGATGAGGATATCAGTCCGAATAATGTAAATAATGCAAGTAATCATAATACTTCATCTCAGAGATATAGAGGGCGAAACGTTGTGAATATGGCAATGAAGATGAGGATATCAGTCCAAATAATGTAAATAATGCAAGTAATCATAATACATAAGAGATATAGACAGATATTGAATTGTCTGTTTTCTATTTTTTTACCAATCAGAGTCTTCTCGTAAAATTTCTTAAATTTTCTGGCACTTGAAGACGCTGCAAAATCTAAAATCCTTTTCTTCTTCATTTCTTGAATGAAAAAAATAACAAAATGTATTTTTGATCAATGATAATATAGAAGTGATTCCTAATTTTGAGGCCCAGTTTAATTTTATATAAATTTCGATAACTAAACTGAGTGAACCAGTTTTCGGCAAAAATGTCATACGCTTCACGCTTTATCGATTGTTCATTTAGAACTTCGTATAATTCTGAGTATTATCTATAGAAATCTCCTATTTTCTTCCTTTTTAGTTTTATATCAACGTTGTAAAAATTAACTATATAATTTGCTTTATCGCCAGTCGATTTTTAAATTTTGGCACCGTTACTGCTTCTACTGCTGTTAGATAACAAATCTTGCGTATTTAAAATTTACATACACAAAAGAAAGCAACTTTATCAATGCACACACGGATAACATCATACTTATTAGAAAACCCAGGTTGTGTGTGTGTGTGTGTGTGTACGTTTATATATTGGATCGGATTTCCTACATTTTTCAACCGATTTCAACAAAACTTCACAGGACTACGTAAAATTACCTTGCGGTGGTTCTGACAGCGCAAAAAATTGGAAAAACACAATTGTTTTTGCACGAAATCAATTTGAAAACACGATTAAGAGGCATCGCCAGAATGAAAGGGGGACAACTCATATCGAGTTATACTTATTATAAAACCCAGGCTGTTTGTGTGTGTGTATGTTCGTTTATATATGGGATCAGATTTCCTACATTTTTCAACCGATTTCAACAAAACTTCACTTTTTTTTTGGCAGGTAGTGTTTCTTATTGTCTTGCACACTTTTTTCATTATTTTTACATTCAGAATGCTTTAAAAAGTTCATTTACAAGTCAATTGTTTATAATAAAATTCTATTCAATCGGTAGACTCATAACGATTGAAAACAATGTTTTTGTTTGAGTTTGGATTTCACCAATTCGTAAAAAAAAAAAAAAAAAAAAATAATTAAGACATGCGTGTCCGTCAACCTTAAACAATAATCTTTGTCAATTTTATATTTCAGGCTTTATGATGGTCGATACTTGATCTATTTCTTACTGTTACATCCCCGGGCAACGCCGGGCTCTACTGATAGTTAAAATTAATTTAACATTTTGATCGTGTAACAAATTAATGATATTTTCATATCATTATATATATATATATATATATATATATATATATCTGTGACTGAACATTTTAAGTTTCTAAGAAACGTCAGCTGCTACCTGTATCGTACGAGACAATTTTTCTCTCCGGTATCTATCTTGCATATCTATAAGTCTTCCATTCGTCCATGCTTAGAATATTGCTGTCTTATATACTCCGGTGTCTCTGCTATTTACCTTGAGCTCTTTGATTAAATCCAAAGAATAATAAGCAATATTCTTGGTCTTGATCTGGCAGCTCGGCTTCAGTCACTTTCCCACCGCCGTAAGGCTTGCGTCTCTGTGTCTTTTCTATAAATACTTTCATGCTAATTGTTCAAATGAGTTCTTCTCTATGGTACCTAGATTTTTTTAATTTAAGCGCAGTACTAGACTGGTGTAAAGATCTGAACAATTTACAGTTGAGCTGTAAATTGTGCTAGATGTAGCCGTAAGTTCTATGCTAACAATTTCTTTTCTCGGTCTTCTCGTTCGTGGAACTCCCTTCCGGCTTCATGCTTTCTAGCTAAATTTAATCTGCAAAATGTTAAATGCAATGTCAATCGCTATTTACTGTTCTCTTACGGCTCATTATTAATGTTTCTGTTCTTAATCCTCCCACAGCCTATAAGCCACATGTGACTTTACTGCCTTGCATGGGGTGATACTGGTTAAAAAATGAATTTGTTAAATTTGTTGAAGTGTTTCATCTTTTTAGCAGAAATTCTTTTCTTGTACAAGAATTTGGCTTTCACATATATATATATATTTTTTTCATATTTCTATCTGCATTTCTTTAAATACGTACTGGTGTAATATAAAGACTCTCTATCAATAAACTTGAAGTCAGTTTCATGGTTCATCAGGGATGCCTTCAGAGTCAGCTACGAGAGATTAGCTACAAGGTAACAGCTAGTTTCAACTGAAATATACATGTTGTGAAAAAAAAAAAAAAAAGCATCCCGATTTGAAAACATTACAGGCAGACCTATTCAACTGGATCAATTTTTTTCAGTTTTATTTTTTTATTCCTCTTGCCAAAATGAGAGAAACATCAAGCCCCATAAATCTTTGGATGAATCAAACGGAACCTTGAACAATAAACTAATCTCTTCACCCCCCACTCTTCCTCTCTCTCTCTCTCTCTCTCTCTCTCTCTCTCTCTCTCTACCTCCCTGTCTTTTGAGCTCCTGAAATCTTCTTTTGTTTTTTATTCCTCTTTTTCCTACTCGATCAGTTTGGCTGCTATCTGGGAACTCCATCGATCGGCTCAACACGGCACCCATTTCAACCCCTGCCCAAATGCACAATCAACCTCTGTGCTCTTGGCCGTAACTGATGAAATTGACCGTGAGCGCTCTGGAAAATATTACAAAAACATTTTCTTTGTCTTGTCAAATTAATTACACTCAAACCGTCAGTCAAAAGAATCTGTTTCCATCTTTTTCGAACGGTTTGTCTTTCGAACAATCAAAGATATGTATTATTTTGTATGTGCCGTGTCCCTTCGGGACGTTGACAATCATGGCTCTCCACAATTTTGACTTTTTGTTATCTCTCCTAAACCTTGCTCTATTCAACCTCACCAAGCATTTTATGCATTGTTTACGTCTATCCCTCTTACCTTTGATCTGTCCTGTGAGTATCAAATTTTCCAAGACCCCACCAACCCTTTTCATCATTACGTGTTCTAGAAATTTCAGCTATCTCTTTCTGAGGTTAAGTATAGGTTTCTTTTTTTTATCCGTTTTCTCTGAAACGTCGTTGTTGCTTACATGTTCGGTCCATTCTCAGAATCCTTCTGTAGAACCACATTTCTGTTGCTTCAAGTCTCTTCTTTAAGGAGCTTGTATACACTGCCATATAGGACAGATATCACGTAAACAGTTCAGTAATCATTTCTTTGTTTCTAACGAAATTTTTCTGTGACATATTCAAAATGTAGAGAAAATAAGTTCTTTAGGTCTGTTTAAATTCTGAATTAAATCTAGAACCAAAATTTTAAGTTGTATAATTGTAATTTACTTGATAGTATGTGCTTTAAGCATTTGCTTATGTCTATCTATCTATCTATCTATCTATCTATCTATCTAAGTTTGTTCATATCTATCTATCTATTTATCTATCTCAGTCTGTTCATATCTATCTATCTATCTATCTATCTATCTATCTATCTATCTATCTATCTATCTATCTCAATCTGTTCCTATCTATCTATCTCAATCTGTTCCTATCTATCTATCTATCTATCTATTTATCTATCTCAGTCTGTTCATATCTATCTATCTATCTATCTATCTATCTATCTATCTATCTATCTCAATCTGTTCCTATCTATCTATCTCAATCTGTTCCTATCTATCTATCTATCTATCTATCTATCTATCTATCTATCTATCTATCTATCTATCTATCTATCTATCTCATGTTTGTTCATATCTATCTATCTATCTATCTATCTATCTATCTATCTATCTATCTATCTATCTATATCATGTTTGTTCATATCTATCTATCTATCTATCTATCTATCTATCTATCTATCTATCTATCTATACATTGTGTAACAGCAAAATTGTGCGAATTGTGTTACAGCACAATGATCAATCCCACAAAATGTTTAATATCTCAAAAAACACTAAATTGAGTTTCTTTTTCCAGGTTTTCAGATAGCCATCTTGTCGTAAGAATCATGATAAACCCTTTAAGTAATTCAGCTAAAATGAGAACCGATTAAAATCGTTTTGTGTTAGACTCAGTATGTCTTCCCAACTGAGCAGTGGTGAGAGGAAAAAGATCATTCATGCTTTCAGTAATCGTAACAATATTCATACGCTGGCTTCCATCTTCAAAGTCCATTCAAGAACCATCAAGAGAACGGTGAATAAGTTTAAAAAAGAGGGAACAACAAAGAGGAAATCTGGATCAGGAGGTCACAACAGCAAGAGGGCTATTCATTTCAACTTAGAGCTAAATACATTCTTATTGTTCCACTAGAGTCCAACAGCGTTATAAAAACCTCGGAGAATTCCAGTAAGATATCTTTAATCATTTCTAAGATAAAACGGTTCAAAGCTTAATCTAACAATTGAATAATTTTCTGGTCATTTTTTTCAGTTACACGCGGTATAATGATCTGTAAGTGTAAAACTGTATAAGTGCATATAAATTTATATGCTGATGACACAACTATTTACTCTTATCTTGATGGTAAGTCTGATTGGTTAGCTAAAGTCAACAGGGCAGCTGATATAAAAATAACCTATGATCAGTTGTTAACTGGGGATAAGAAATGTCATGCTAACTTTAACGCTTTCAAAACGAAACTAGTATCTTTTAATCGTCTGAGAGAGTTTTGGGGGGCTTTCAATCAGCATGGCTGATGCTAACCTCCAGGATATTGACTCATTGCTCCTGTTTGGGCTACCGTTTTCCATAAAGGGAATTGGAAAGATTATATTGAATCAATTGCTAGTTTTGCTGCTAGGAAATTAGGTTCTCTGTATCGTGCTAGACAATCTTTCTCGTCAAAATGCATCTTGCACATTTATAAGTCTATAATTCGCCCCCACTTCGAATATTGATGTCCCATCGGGTGTTTCTGCTATGTATTTAGAGATTCTTGATAAAAATACAATTAAATATCTACAATGTTATCAGTCCTGACCGGGCATCTCGGCTTCACTCACTTTACCATCAATATAATGTAGCTTCCTCGCGACATTTAAAGACATACATATTTTAATGGTAATTGTTCTGATCTATTTTCGTCTTTGGTACCTGAATTTAAGTGCAGTAGTAGATTGGTGCCAAGGTTTCGTCACTTTACAGCTGAAATGGCGAGAAGTATTCGTAAGTTCTATGCTAACAGTTTATTTTCTCGCAACTCTCGCTTGTGGAACTCTCTCCTTGTTTTTTGCTTTTGCGTAAATTTTGTTTTTCAGAAATTTAAATGTAATATCAATCGTCATCTTCTGTTTTCTTAATTCCTGTTCTTTTAGTATTCTCTCAGCCTAAACATCTTTTCTTTTACACGTGATCGCTCATAATCAGCAATCCTTCTTAGTGGCTTTATTGCCTTAATTAAGGTGACATTATATATATAAATATATATAGTTTTATTGAACAAAATTAACAAGGTTTCTGCATTTAATGAATGCAAAACTCTCCAAATGTTTATTCATTCCGACTGCACTTGGCTCAGCTATTAGACATTTTTAATGATACTACTATAATAAATGGTGTGTAAATGCTATTATTTAGACAGTATAAAACTTATAAAATGTCGATATGTTCTTGCTTTACGAATACGGCCAGTACATATGGCCATGTTCATAAGTGATGTTATAAACAGTTAGTTTCTTGTTTCGTTTTATAATAAGGGCTTCCATTATTTTAAAACGATTTTTTTTATTTGGAGGTACGTATTTGTGTCCTTGAGAGTATGTTGCGTAACAATGTTAGTACAGTTACGTGGTGGTATAAATGTGTTCGTATGGAGCTCTGGTCAGAGAGATGTAGAGTCAGTTGTCTTTACAGGTAAATGCTAGTATGTCGAACATAATTATTTATGGGTTTTCAGTTAATCGCGAACGCAGTTTCATATGGATCCTCTAAATTCATAAATAACGTTGGTCTCATATAGTTTTGATTTCCTCGGCGAGATGTTGTTTCTGATAATAAGGCTAGCGTTATTTAATTTTTTATATTAGATAATTAATTTGATAATTTAGTTTGTTTCACTCAAATAATACATTTTTATAATGTACTTGAAAGTGTTTTGGTGTTTTCTGTAACTTGTTACGATAAAATATTTAGACACACGAAAAATATTATTAAAAAAGGGAACAGAAGTATGTTGCAAGCCTTGTTCAACGAAACATGTATTAAAGAAGGATTGCTGCCCAAATAAACCCCCACACATATAGTTATATATACCTTGTATATAATATATATGCATGCATATAACACACACACTCACACACACACATACACACATATATATATGAAGAAATATAGTTTTAAAGTGTGCTATATTTATGGGATAAAGTGCTCAATATCAGAGATAGAGCGTATGTAAAAGTTAACATTGAAGTTAAAACTCATAGGCTACAGGCTGTTTCATTCTAGATGCAATCGTCAGGCGGCCTGACCATTGCGTCTAGCATGAAACAACCTGTTGCCTCTGAGTGTTGACTTCAATGTTCACTTATATATATATATAAATCGAACTAATGTCTTTAATTTCATCACAAAATTAAATTCGAAGCTTTTAGCTTCCATTTTTGAAACATGGTTAGAACTGTGTAGCGAAAATACCATATTTTAAATCAGTTAATTTATAATATATATATATATATATATATATATATATATATATATATATATATATATATATATATATATATATATATATATTTATTAATGAATATACATATTATCCCTCAACAGTAGCACGACTCGGTGCATCTTGCATAACGCCATATTCAGGTGTCGAGTATAGACTGGCAGTTACATAATTTAAATTTTAATAAGTATATCTGGTAAACGCAATATTGGCGCAGTCTACACATTATACGGTGATTACAGTTTTTTTTTTATTTTAAAAGAATTATTTCAGTCTATACTCAGTACGTTGTGCATGAAACTCCGAGTATTGCTACCAGTGAAGAAGAATATTTATAAATATTAATATATACTTAATAGCTCGGTTATATTACATCGAGCAATGTTTTATTAACACCAACACTATATGTCCGGCGTGGAGTAATGGATAGTGGCTCGGATTGAAGAATCGGAGAGCCGAGTTCGAATCCCAGTCGACTCTTGGGAAATGTATGAATCGTCTTCTCCCCTCAACTATTTTCTCAGGTAAATAGCAGGTCAGACTGGGTTGGCAACTGATCTAGGAGAAGGACAACTCTGAATTGGAGACATTGTAGAGCACTAGTCTCTGTATTCGGCTCTTCAAAAAGTGTGGTTGATTCTGCACAAAGCCTTAACCAATCTGGTGTCTGGCTGTCGGTTCCTAGGAACTGAGTTGCTTGACCCTCATACGTCGAAGACGACGGGAGAATCCAGCATATATATATATATATATATATAAAGTTAAAGGAACTTAATCTGTTGAAGGCTTAAAGGACGAAATTGTGTCAAACGAAATCATTTTTCCACTTTTTCATATATATTTCCCCAGATGCATTGTAAGTGTTTAAGATTTATACGGTCTTTTTTTTTTTTTTTAATCTTGCCATACTTTTAA